TATCAGGATACATGAGTCAAACTGAACCATAGCAGAGAACTTTGCTGAACTGCTGTACCATTTAACATTGGCGTGAAGATCACTGAGACCCCACAGGTCTAAAAACTGTTTGTATTAATGATTTTAATCATCTGGCAAGTGTTACAGTAGATTAAGACACAAACAACATCAGGCAGATGCTATAAAAAATAGAATAGAACAATGTGAAAGGCTAGTGTGCAAGTAGGGCAGAGCCTCCACTCATCACAGCATGGTGAAATACCACATATTGTGTAGAATTGCTTAGCAGCATTGAGAAACTATCAATAGACGTGTGTGTGTGTGTGCATAAGGCTGCACTGAAGAGGCTGAAATTCACCATAAACTACTCTATGGGATTTTAACAACTAAATGTGCTTTACAAAAATGGCATTTTTTTCTGCAGCACACTCTTTGATGTGGAAATGACGGAGAAAGAGCACACAGAACTAGAAAATAAGCCTTCATGTTACAGAGGTTTGAATGTGTCCTGTTGCTGCACTTTCGAGCATTTGTCTAGATTCAGTGTAAATGCTTGTAATTAGAATAATAACTAATAATAAGTGCAAAGTGTCGGACTCATTAGTACAGCGATCCTTTAGCAAACAAAAAGGCAGACAATAAAACCATTTAAAACGATATAAAAGGGGGATTTCAAATGAACAGTCAGCAGGAGGTGATTTCATTTGCTGGGAATCAGAGACTAGGTATTCCCCTTCTCGGCTGTCGAGGACAGTGGTTTGGATTGCGCAGCTATTTTAGTATGCAAGGCACAGTTTGGTACAGAGTGAAGCCTGAATGATAAGGAATAAAACAAAACAAAAACGGAACTACCAAATCAGGGTAAAAGTTGCCTTCATTCATCCTCCAAAGCCACACACTGTAACATCAAAATACAGAGCAAACCGGCCGCTGAAACTGAAGAATGTAACTCAGAGGAGGTTCTGTGTGAAACACCATATAACTCTGACAGATTACAATGATGCCCACATCACTATTGACCACTTTTCTCCAAACTCAGCGGCTAAATTTAGCAATAAAGAGGAGGACTTTCTTCCTGAAGCATTTTCCTGACCAAAGGAACGTTCCAAATGCACTGATGTCATGAAGTCAAGCCCTACAAAGACAAACCGCCATGTAAGACATGTTTGATGATGGCCTTGGTTGTTATTAAAAGCAAGCTTTAATTGTCCCCTACAAAGTCCCCCCCTTTTATTTTTTACTACATAAAATTGTGATCTGTTTACTCTTCCATACTTTAAACAGAACATAAAAGGCATAAGCCATAACGTCTGTAATCATTCACAGTGCTCTTTTTCTCACACCACACACACACAGACACACACTTAAACATGCACAAACACACATGCGCGCACCCAGGGGACTTCCAGACCAACACACCTCCACCCACACTCAGCCTCCATCGCTACAGGCTGTGAACCCCGAGACGAACACACATTCCACACAGGTCTGCTCACATTTACACAGATAAACTGAGAATTAAGAGACTATTGACACACACCGCCACACTCCATTACCGCTGACTTCAAAATACTGTATGACCAAACACTCCTAGAGCTGCAACTGCAGCAGCCAATTAGTTTTATATCAAGTCAACACGCTGCTGATGAGCTGGGAAGTCATGTGATAATCAATCATTTGTCTCATTTCATTGCTCTCACACACACTCACTTAGATGACTATATTCATTTTATGCTACTTTGATTTTTATTTACTTCTTAAATTCATTTGACAGCTATAATTATTTTGCAGATGAACTTTCTACATACAAAACATATGATCATCTTATTAAAAAATTATAACTTGGTATAAAGTATGAAGTACCCAGCATATACACACATGTGTAGGGTAGTTCAAAATTAGCTCCATCTTGACCAGCGATATTAACTTGCTGTTTATGTAGCAATGCACCAGGAATATTATTCAAATAAAATAACATATAACAACATGACAGATCCTTCCACCACTGGTAAAAAAAAAACAACAACATAAAAAATATATGTGTTGTTAAAACCAGGCTGCTACTTCTACACCTACAGGGGGTTTTCACTGGGTTTTCCGGGGGATACTGAAGAGGTTTTTTTTGTTTTGTTTTTGTTTTTTGTTTTTTTGGTTAAATTCAAAATAATTTCTCTGATTCATTTCATCAACCTAATTACACGGATTGAGTTTTTTGGTGATGGTGAATTACCTGCTTCAAAATGCAGTTGGTAATTTTTAGAAAAATTACTTTTTGTCATATTTGCTGAAACTTTCATTATATCCTGACAGTAGTACATGAGACAGATAATCTGTGACAAAATAGTGCTCCTATAACATTTGCAAGAACGATAACAACTAATGAGTAAGATATGTGATTGTCCCAGGTTGTAAAATACCAACGGTGAGGGTTGGTGGCTTAAGATAGTTGATTGTTGAGTCTCCTGGGAATGATGAAACTCAATAATCAAGTGTCTTTCGTGGCTCTGGTTGTTGGTTTTTGTGGTTTCTTGCACTAGGAGCACTAGGACAAGCTAGAAGAAGCTGATTTTTTCACAGTGTGTCTCATGTGCTACTGTCAGAATATTCTGAGAATTACAGCAAATATGACAAAAAAATTTTTTTTTATATAAAAGTTATCTACTGTAGCTTTTAGTAACTAATTAAACTATAAAATATAACTTTATATGTTCTGCTTTATTTTTTTCTGGTTGTGTGTCACCCTGAAAGCAGCGTCACTCAACACTATTCATACAAAGAATGAAATCAGGAACTACTCAACAACAATGCTGAATAATCAACATTTTAAAATCCTAACCATATTGTCTAACCATAAAAAGTGTGTGTATCATGGGGTGTGTATCATGCTATGACAGAGACCTGCTAAATTTGGCAAATCTCCATAAAACTATAGACTAGACAAGCTGACTAACTGAAGTGTCATGACAAAAAAAGATGATAAATGACCTGAGACTTGACAGCAGCAGACACCACTCTAGGCATGCTAAGTTCATACAGGCTACAGGTTTAAATGAACTAACTGTACCGGCATATTTGTCTCAAATTAATCCCAAACTATGTTTTAATCCCATTTAATTAATAAGTAAGCTGTTGCTATGAATCACATTTCAAGACTAAAACCTCCTCAGTGTCACCGCCCATTCAATCTGATGGCAAACGTGATGTATTTTATTTTGACACAGATGCAACCATTATTCCATCTATGACAGACAATCTGTCTATCCATCCTCACCTCACACTACACACAGTCCATTTACTGAGCAATTATAGGTCATGATCCTAACAGAGGCCCTAACAGAGGTGTTTGTGTGGTTCTCTCTCCTACATCATGGTCATGTGTAATTCAATCACGAATCACCTTTAAAATAAATTTCCTGATTTGCAATAATTAAGCAGGTTAATTAAGCATGACGCTACAGTTTCACTATGACTTGTTAACAGTTTCTTATCAAAACACACATTTATTACTTTTGTTCCTATATTTCTTAGATATCAAGGAATATAGCAACCATTGTTTTACACACAATAGCTGCTGTCTGTCCCACTGTGGAGACAGACAGGCATTCCAGTCATTTTGTGAAAGGCCTCTATTGAAATGATGCATTTGGTCCACGACTCTGTTCACATAACACAGCTGTCATAAACCGCGCCCTTTTAATAATCTATTTCAGTGGACTGACCGACTTTTTACTTGCTTTTTTTTTTTTTCACAAATGACCTAAAAAAGTTCCATCGCAGTCATATTTTTTCAGAATTTTGTTTGCTGTTGTATATTTCAGGTATTTTAGAGCAGACGGCTTTTAATCAGACTACCACACAGGAAACCTGGGGCTGTGTAATATTTGAGCAATGAAAAACTTAGCTTAAGGACATGTTCAGTCAGATATTAGTTCTGCAAAAAAATTAGAGGTGACAGAAAGAGTCTGACTCAACTTTAACGACAACAGTTCGTCATCAATGTTCACAGTCAACAGTTCTTACTTACTCAGATTATAGACCACAGGTTTCAACTTTAAGACTTCTGACTGTCTGACAATAGTTATTAGTCTGCTTTCATTCAGCTGCTGTAAAAATTGTAACAATTCATGTACTATATGACCCCAGGGGTGGGGGGGTCATATAGTATCAAACTAGCCTTATTTCATTGCCAGTACATGAAAAAAACTTAATGCAGGCTCTTGCATTTGTTTGTTTGTTTCTGTTTTTGTTTTTAATGCAGTGATCTTTATGATCTGAAAGGCCAGTAGAATTAGCCCAGCAGCTCAACCTTGTCCCCGCAAATTAATCCATTCTTCGCAGAGTAACACTCCTCCTGTTTGGGGTCCTCTCCCCTTTTTCCCTCACAAGCCTATATCATTTCTGTTGTCATATTATCTTGTCATTTTGCAATTAAAGTAAATAATCAGTAAGCCGATTTACAGTTTGATCACACTTCATTGACTTTATAAACCATTACAGTTACAGTTGACAAACTCTCACACCAGGGTCCACTTAGTAGCTGTTCTAGGCCTTTTGAACATATCACATGATCTGTATCAGCTGATGGGAGTATGCTCAATTGCCAAGGAAGTGAAAACAAATTTAAATTTGAGCCGAATCTGTTCCATGACAACTGTGCAAAACTCCATCTCTGTGGTATGATTAAAAACTCCAGAGCTTCTTAGGTGAAACAGTTTAATCAACTTCTGTTTCCAGTGTAAAGACTGAACTTAAAGACTCAACATGAATTGCGGCATCATTAAATACATGCACAGCTGTTTTTCTTGTAAAAAACAAAACAAAACACGCCGATTTTGATTTTGATGGGATTGTGTCACATTTATCGGGAGGAGTCAGTTCCCATCTTCTCACAGTAACACTGAAAGAGGGACAGGAGGAAGAAAACTCCGGCGGTTCTGCTGTCAAAACCCGTATAGCAGCAGCGCATGCGCACGATCGCGCCACTGCAGCAATGACGTCACCCAGCAGACAAGTCCAGGCACACACCAACGGACGCACACACCACACACACAAACAAACACACACACACAAGCCAAACCGATCGCTGGACAGGCGATGTGCGGCTCACTTACCGGACAACCGGTGGCCCGCCCGAACTGACGAGCTTTCGTACGGTTGAAGACCACCGCGCGCTGTAATTACTCCACACGCGCTTCTCCGGTGCGTTTATCCGGGCTGTTTCTCGTTCCTCAAATAGGCATCATCAGGGCTACCTGTCACAGCCGTCTGTCACGGAGGTTATCGCTGCAAGAACCGCGGACACAGCGATGACTCTCGAGGATGATCTGACAGCAGCCGCAGCGAAGGGACACACGGCCGACGTGAAGAGTCTCCTGCAGGCCGGAGCCGAAGTTAACGGGGGGAACTGTTTTGGACGAAGCGCTCTACAGGTCAGTGTGTGACCAGATGCGACTCGGGCGATCAGTTTTCTGCACTTAAATGTGTTTTACACGAACAGAGTTAACACCCTTAACCACTTTAAATGACAACCAGTAGCCTGTTGGATCATAGCGGAGATATTTTCCAACCAGGCTATTAGGAGATATTTTTTATTTTGCGGTTACTTATCGAAAAACGCACTTCCAAAAAGAAAAAAAACAAAAAACGACGCGCAGTCCCGTGAGTGTGGACTGTACAGGGATCAAACGTCGTGTTTTAATAAAACACTCAGTGGAGACAGTGACATTTCTCAGTTTGAATGGAGCGTTTCGATGTCTGTTCGAGTCGCAACAGAAACATTAAATGTTGTTAAGTTTGGATGAGTCATTTTCTCTCTGCATTGTTTTTAATCGGGCTTAAAACGACACATTTAAATAGTGTGTGTGTGTGAGAATAAGCTCGGCGTTAGGTTGCATGAAGAGTAGAAAATATTTTTATTCATAATAACGCTTCTACGTCCTCATACACACACACACACACACACACACACACCCCTCAGTTCCCATTAATATAGGCTATGTCTCATCCATGATGGATTTCTTTATTCCTAAATACAGTTTATTACAGCAGCAGATGAGAAGAATTGGCATTATAATAGCTTCCAATGATAGCCAGAGTTGCCGCACCTCAACATACAGACTTTATATCATAACTTATAGCTTGCAGGCACTGTAGAGAAAAAACACTCAACCTGCCTTCCTTCTGAAGTCAGTTACAAATCGTATAATTTCTCTTCAAGATTATAAAGAAAACGAAACTAAGATTTGTAAGGAGCCTCTAAATGTCTTTAGGCAGCCGGAACTCGCCCGGCATTGTTTTAAAGTTAAAAAGTGGAATAGTAAGCCTTACAGTAGCTCATCAGTCTCCCATTTACACTCCAAAATGTTCAGATCATATAAAGTAAATTGTAGTCTTTGTGGGACAATAGGCGAAGTTGCCCTGCTTCCTATAATCTCATATCTAAGTTTATTATCCCGGGCGCTAGTTCCAGTCCCTGCAGTGTGATTTGCCTTACGTATTAACACTGATAAAAATATATGGTGGACAATAAAGTAATTATTTGGCCAGTGCTGTGTTATTAAAATGCAGGTCCCCCCCCTTCTTAGTTAGTTACTATAAATGATTAATAAAATGACTTATGCTTTTTACAGCAGGCGTAATAAAATTCAATTTGATTCTGACTGTCGGTTATATTCTGATGAAGGTGATGATGATGGGGAGCACGCCGGTGGCTCAGGTGTTACTGGAGCACGGAGCGGATCCCAACGTGGCGGACCCAAGCACCGGGACCACCCCGCTGCACGACGCGGCCAGGACGGGCTTTCTGGACACTGTGCGGCTGCTGGTGCGATACAAGGCTGACCCGCAGGCCAGGGACAATACAAACTGTCTGCCTATCGATTTAGCCCGAGACAACGGCCACAGAGACGTGGTTGCCTTTCTGGAGTCTGTAAATTAGGCTGTACTCTTGTGACGCTGTGATCATGTTTCCTGCTGCTTGGTTTTTGAATGGGGACTCGGAGGTCTGAGAAACGGGGCCTAAAGAGGCCTGCAGTTTAAATTATGCACAGACTGTTATGCTGTAAAATGTGTTTTTATTTATTAGTCTGTTTTGTGTTGAATATGCATCATTATTTTATTTTTAACGAAATCAGGGTTATCTATTAGGCCACAGGGTCGCTGTTAGGACAAATAACGCGAGGATATGATGTTATAGTGATCTAAAGCGAGGATATTCGGGCTATTCAGCACCGCAGTTTAAAGAGACTTTAATACAATTTGTTGCAATGTTTAACTTCCGTTGTATCATTTAAAATATCCCGATAGGCCTATAAGGAACCCCACTTTTATCATGTACAGTTTTCCTATAGGATTTGTTCAGTGTGTTGCATGTTGTAAATAGGATTATTGTTGTTTTTATTCATAAACGTAATGAGATTGCGGTATTTTAAATATTCCTTACATGTCAAATATATTTAACCAAATAACAGAGAAGCCATTCAAAATATTTTGCACATTTGAACATTAGTGTCTAACTGATGCACTCTTCTTTAAGCATTATCTTTATTCTGCAGAGTCCCATTTCCTGTTTGTATAAATCATATTCAGATCTCAGATATTATGCAATTTATTAAAATGTAACATTTGTTTGAAGATTAGAAGCAAAAATAATATTGTTGGGCTCCACCAATTGCCTGATTGATGGATTATTGATAGGTACCAGAGAATTAAAACAAAAATGAAGTGATGGAATTTGCATTTGAATTCAGTTGGGAGTTTAACATTGTTTGAAAACTATAATTGCCCAAACGAGCACAAATATGACCCCAGGGCAAATATTTAAACTTTGTCAGTTATCTTGTTATATTTGTTAGCTTATTAAAACGTTTTTTTTTAAAGAAATAGCCTATTGACAGGGACAGATCAAATGTTTCACAGCACTGAAATATGCTGCAGAATCCTGCTCATGTCCAGGTTAACACAAGGCTGATGTGATTATTATTTATTTATTTTTAGTGAAACCTTTGAGTTGACTTTTCAGTTCAGATGGCACTAAAACATGCATGTACTCATTTTAATTATAATCTATCGGCTTTATTGGAGAGAACTTTTGTGTAGAATAATTCTGTATAAAATTACATCTCTGTATAAATGTCAGGTTATTGTTGCACACTGAATGGGTTGCCATAAGAAGTTAGTACTATATAACGCATTGCTGTTGCAGTAGGAAGATAAACAGAAAAATTAGAGGGGGGGATTATTATGAATACACAAACATGAGTCATAAAAATAGGATATGCATAACCGTTTTTGTGAGTTAAACATTAGCCTATTTAGTTTAAGCCATAGGCTTTATGAATCTTAAGGGATGTTTGACAGTACAGAGAAAAGTCCCCAAAAGCACCTGGGGCATAACTAACTGTTGTTTTGTTTCTTAAATGGATTTGAAATATACAGCCTTATGGGCCTGATATTTTAACATTACCATGGCTAACAGTTTTTATCTCAACTAAAATTCATGTCAAACAGCTGTTTTAACTTATTCAATGAAATCATTGGCAAACTTATTTCCTACATGCTTCAAGACCAGAAATTCAAATCTAAATTCCAAATTCATATAAATGGACTATAACTTTATTCTTTAAATGATTTCTTTTTCAAGTCTTTATTGCACTAGCCTTTTCAGCACATAGTAAAAAGTAACCACTCTGCATTTCATTTCACATATGTATGAGCATGTGCTAATAAAACCTTTGAATCTAAAGAATATACAAATGATAACATACATTTTAATCAGTTCAAGTTGCTCTAAAGACTTTATGTTTTACTAACCACTTAAAAACATGAACTCAAATCTGTTTTTTATTGAGTGAATTTATGCTGCATAATGCATTTATATTGTTGAGACAAGGCAACAAAACAAATACAAAAGAACAAATATTTTTAGGTACTGTGTAGCATGATGAGGTTCAAGTGCAGCAAACATAACAGAAAGCCAAGCACTCCTACTAAAATGCTAATTTAATTAGATGATGACGATTAAAGTATATTGAACATTTTAGGTTTGCAAAAGTGTCTTTTCTCCGTCAGTGTTTCGCAATACTGTTAATAAGTGATTTAAGGAAAACAGTCTGCATGTACAGTGCAGTTCCTGTCCTACATACAAATTAAATACTGTTGGGATTTTATTTATAAAACACATAAAACGTTTAGAGCAAATAAAAATTAAAATATTTTTCCAAATATAAAAAAATGTGCCCAATAAGCAAAAATAGAAACATTGCCAGCGTTAATGACAATCATTTTTATCCTAATTCAGTTTTACTGAAGTTTTCTTTTAGGGTAAGACATGAGAAACGTAACAGTAACAAAGCCTTCATGTGCTAAATTTGCAAAGCCATTTTTATTATATCCTGAACTAATAGCAATAAAGACACTAATGGTTTACAGGCAACAAATATAAAAATTTTAACGGATCACAAAAAATATAAATCCACAAAAAATAATATCTAGTATAATCCTAAGAAGACTTCGGTGTTAATGTTTGGACCTAAACATGTGGTGGGACTGACGGAAAGTGGCAAAATTCTCTGGTAAGCGTTTAGAGAAAAAGAGTGACCTGTGAATCAATATGAGGGGTGGGGTTATGTGTATTTTGAGTCAGAAAAGAACACTGAAACTCCAGCTGAAGACTGAGCACATGCATTATTTATGTGAGGCACTTTCTTGTGATTCACTGATGACAAATCCACAGGCAGAGTGGGGTCCGTGTTGGTGCGGGTGGTGTCTGGGATCCGTGTCCGTTTTCCACATCATTGTTTTCTCAGTGCTTTGGTAACATTACTGAAGATTGGGCCATTGACTGTAACAAAAGGAACAAAAACAGCTGATTTTCCATGTACTGTATGTCTCAGATATACAGCAACAATAACTACATTTGATCATGTGAAGGTTGTCTAGCATTTCTGAGGTTGAATCTGTTTTTAAAAGTATTATTAAAACGTATGTGCCTTTTATCATTATGAAAATTCAAATAAAATACATTAAATATTAGGCAGCTTTAATGCCACACTTTTTTTCCAAAGTATAAGAATTACCAATAAACAAAGACAGACCTTTGAATAAAAATGTAACTACTAACCTTCCTGCAACCTCAAACTACTTGAAGAATGTTCAAAACTATTGTTAAAAATGGATGCAAAGGGTGCACCCAGTGTAAAAACACTTAAGCCAGTCATGAGTTGTTCTGAGGTGCAACTAATATAATACATGTTCATTAAACATGTGCACTCTTAATTACACATATATTTATTACCACATATTTTGAGTTAAGACTGTAATATGTGTGTTTTCATGCTCAGTGTTGTCAAATACAGATTTCCATTCAAAGTTGAACCAGCTGAGTTTTTTTTAAAAACTATAAAAAGGTTCAATACAGCCTCGCAGACGGGGGCAATTGTCATCAGCTCACTGACAGGGATGAGAATTGATACAATTTTATTAATATCAATGCCATTAGCGATTCTGTTTATTGGTCTGATTCTTTACCAATTCCCTTACTGATTCCTGATCAATTTTCCGTGTGGAAATAAGTAGGCCTACACAGGTTTGCAACATCAACACAGCAGTTTTATTATGTCCGAGGCCGACAACAGTGTAGAAATCAGTAGAAAAAAAGGCATGCATGTGACTAAAAAGCTCCACTGTTTAACAGCTGTTTAATTTGGAACCGTTTCTCAACCGAAACCGGTTCTCGATTTACATCCTCAATATTTGTATATTATTCACTATTTACTTACTCAAATAAAAACTCTGCTGCTTGCCTGCATGGCACTTATGTTATCATAACTGTTCGGTTAGGAAGCAGTGGCACTGCACGCAGTGGTGCATAGAGTTTCAAATACATGGCCTTCCTGGAATGTTGCCCAGGTTGTGTAGAAAGATGTTAAAATGAAGCCACACTTGATACACTTCTTACTTTCTGCCAGGACTCCTAGTTGCAAGTTTCAGCAGCATAGAGCGGTCAGGCTCCGGATGGTTTGATTATTCTTTCGAAAAACAGTTTAAGGATGTGGTTCGGTGAGACGGAAGACATTACAGTGGTGTGTGAAAGTTTGGGCACCCTTTGACAAATAACATACTTTGGCCATTTTTTTAATTGAAAAGATGTAAACACAGCCTCTTAAGGGGATGGAACACAAAACACAACATTTTCAGCAAACATTCATGCACAGTTACATTTTCTTTTATAAATTGAACAAAAAAAATATATATACATATATATATGCTTGTTAGGCCTGAGGCATGTCAACAATTTTGATTACAAAGCATCAGCTGTGGCCAATTTCAAAGCTTTACAAATACTCAGACTCTTCAAAACCTTGTGTAAGCACTCACCAACCATGGGTTCCTCTAAGCAGCTGTGTAAAACTCTGAAAAGTGTTTTTGATGCCCACGGCTACAAGACGGCTACATTGTCAGCTTGCAGTTTCCAGAGTGTGAAATTTGATTAAGAGATAGCAGTTTAGGGGGAACTGTGGAGGTCAAGATAAGATCTAGAAGCTCTCGTAGAGAACTGCTCATATGCTGATGAGAAGACTCAGGAGTTGTCAATGTCCAGAGCTGCTTGAACAAAGAAAACCTTCATGGAAGAGTCAGTAGAAGAAAACCTTACCTACTTCCACATCATAAAATCCAACATCAGAAGTATGCAACAGAACATCTACAGAAGCCTGATGTGTTGTGGAAACAAGTGCTGTGGACTAAAGAAGTTAAAAAATCGGACCCTTGGCCACAATCAGTAAAAAGGTGTTTGGGGAAAACAGGAGCAGCATTTCATACAAAGCACAACTCCCCAACTGTTAAGGATGGAGGTGGATCTATAATGCTGTGGGGTTGTGTTGCAGCCAGTGGCACAGCAAACACTGCACAGGTGGAGGGAAGAATGGATTCCACTTAACCCCAGCAAATCTATGCATGAATGTTTGCTGAAATAGTATATCTTATTATAATAATATCTTATGTTCCATGTCCTTGGAAGGCTGTGTTTACATCTTTTCAATGAAAAGAAATCACCAAAATATGATATTTGTTAAGGGGTGCCAAAACTTACAACTGTATAAAATAAACCTCAACGACTGCAATACTTGCTGAGGGAAATGAATCATCATTAAGCTGACAACTTACTTTCAAGGTCTTCATTGTCTGAGCCCAGTCCATCTGACTAATCTGGGGTATTGCAGTTAGCAGGATACTGCTGGCTTTATTGGCATTCTCCTTCATCGTCTTCAGTACGTTGTCAACACAGACCTAGGACAAGGAAAGAAAAAAACAGCTGCCTTGTAAAAATCACTTACAGCAGTGCAAATTTCACTTCCTATAAAAGTCACAGTCACTTTGTATTTCCCAAAAATATACTTTCACATGTGTCCTTACTGATGCTAGAAGAGGATTTTTGCACTGAGAATAACTTTTTTTGGAATCAGCAATGTATGATGTGAATATGTGAATGTGTGTGTGTGTGTGTGTGTGTGTGTGTGTGTGTGTGTGTGTGTGTGTGTGTGTGTGTGTGTGTGTAATTAATAGCATATTAATACATGTTGTGTTAACGGTTAATTTTGCTTTAAACATTAATTTATTTTTCATGTATTTATTTTGTTTTGTTTGTTGTTTTGTAGATTTGCCATATCTTTATACACTGCTTATTTTTTAATAATTTTCTTGGACTTGTAAGGTGAATAATGACAA